TCTTTCTGTACACAGCGGACGACACTATAACCACACATTCACCCGGAGGGGGCTCCTATGACCAGGAACTCCAGAGTCAGATGTGAACCTGAGATGTGAACCTCTTCTGTGTACGTGCCAGATGGTCAGTGTTCATAGTGGATAACACTGGACCCACACATCCACCTGGAGGGTTCCCTGTGACCAGGAACTCCAGAGCCGGATGTGAACTTCTTCTGTGTGCATGCCAGATGTTCTCCAGAGGAACAAAGAGCAACCAGGACACTGTTACCTGTCACACGTCCCTGCCTTACCTTGGGTATCTCTGGACATTTTCTTGTATAACCTGTAGAGCATTATGGTCAGCTCTGTGGCTTTTAGGAATGCTTGAATATTGTTTGATTAGAGTCATTGCTACAATGAGAAATTCTAAATGTTGGTAGTAATAGCACTTGTATTGTAAGTCAAGTATTTCCTCATTTTTGTTTGAGGCAATGTCTCATGTGTCCTGCCCTGGACTTGAACTCACCATAGCTGAGGGTGATCTTGAACTTCTAATCCCTCTCCCCTCCCTGGTGTTGGAATTATGGAAATATATCACCACATGCTAACACTTCCTACGCAGTGCTATAGATCAAACCTAGGGCCATGTGCATGTACGGAGGCTCCCTGGGCCGTGTGCAGGTACGGAGGCTCCCTGGGCTGTGTGCAGGTACGGAGGCTCTCTGGGCCGTGTGCAGGTATGGAGGCTCCCTGGTCACTGAGTTCCCTTCCAGCCATGCTCCTCTCCTTGGTCCCTTGTTGATGAGATGACTGTCATAGATGACACACGGCATCTGGACACAGATGGTGACCTTGATGCCTCTGCCGCCACCATTCTCTGTCATGTTGTGTAATTACAGCACACATTTACTTTGACATATAAAGATTGTGTATATTTATGGAGTCCCATGTTGTATTTCAACGTGCATATATGTTACCTATGTTCAAGTCTTGGTAAACATACATACATCCTCCCACACTGATCCTTTGTGTGTGTGTGTGTGTGTGTGTGTGTGTGTGTGTGTGTGTGCTGAGAACACTAGAAATTTCCTATAGTTTTAAACACCACTTTTCTTCATTTGTTTGAGACAGCATCTCCTTGTAGCCCCAGCTGACCTGGAATTCTCTCTGTAGACCAGGCTGGCCTTGAACTCACAGATCTGGAACTCTCTCTGTAGACCAGGCTGGCCTTGAACTCACAGATCTCTCAGAGGCCTCAGCCTCTTGAGTGCTAGAATTGAAGGAGTGCGCCATCATGCCTAAGACATTGTTTTTTACCTGATCAGTTCATCATGTTATTAAATTTGTTTTTACATTTCCAAATTCTAAATGTCTATTGACCAACCTTCCCTCCTTTACATCTTATGCCTGTGTTCATGTGCAAACATGAGTGTGCAGTGTACACTGTGTGAGTGCATGTGTGACTGTGTGTCCAGTGTGTGTATATGAGAACATGTGCATATATAAGTATGTGTAGGTATGTGAGAAAGTGTGTGAGTGTATATGTGTGTGTGTCTGTATATATGAGTGTGAGAGTGTGTGTGTATGTGCATGGTATGTATATTGTGTGTGAGTGCATGAATATGCATATGTGTGTGAGAATGTATGTGAGTGCATGTGTATGAGTGAAGTGAATATGTGTATGTATGTGTGTGTGTGTGCGCGTGTGCACACTGGTGTTGTCTCTGTGTGTTTTTACCTGTGTGTAGAGAGGCCTTTCCCATGTAGCCTTGAGGTTTTGGGCCTGTGCCAGTAATGGGTGGTATTTGCTTATTCGTGTTTTCTAGTGAGGGGATGTTTTAAAGTTGTATGTTTACATTGCCAGAAGAGTGGCTCAGTTCAAAGGGTTGTGTTGTGTGGGTAGGTAGGGTAGTAGGTGGGTGTCTTCTGGGAAGCTCAAACCACAGGAGGCTGTGGGGAAGAGCTTTGCTTAGAGCTGAATTGGTCTGTGCTGTGACAACGCTCAGGGTAGCTGGTGACCCCTGTCGTTTCTACAGTGGGCGCAGTGCAGGAGCTGTGTGTTGTATGGGTAGATGTGTGCATATACACATATATTCATATATTATGATAGTTTGACCTACTAGAAGTGAGACAAATCAAAATTCCTTTGGCGGACACTGACCCTCTCAGGGCTAGCTAGCTCTTAAAGACAGCATAATACATGTCTGTGCTATGCAAGCCATTCCAGAACAGCGCCTCCTCAATCTGACCTGTACATTCAGAAACAGGCACTTCTAAGTCATCACAGGGTCAGGTAGGTAACAGACCATGAGGGACCAGTCTGCAACCCCAAGCCTGCTGATGATGCTCTAACTTACCAATCCTTTGCTCTTCACACTGTAATAGCAAGTCAGAAGTTCAGAGGAATGCCATAGTGACAGCCAAATTAAGAGTCCTTTATTAGCTGGAGGTCAGAGAGGGGGCCAACACCCAAAAGAACTCTAGACCCTGAGGAGAAGCAGGGCAGGGTTTATAAAGCTTAAAAATCACGATTATATCATACCAGGGGCAAAATAAATAACCATAGTTACAATCAGATCACCGTAGTTACACCAGACCAGGGTTAGATCGGTTAACAAAGAGGTCTTCAGTTAATAAAGTTTTGGTTAGGAGAAAGAAGTTTCTCAGAATGCAGAGACAGTGGGCTCCATGGAGATGCAGGTACAGCTGGGAGGGAGGACGTGCTGTCTGGACGTGCTACCTGGCTACTTGTAAGTTTCCCAGTACTGCAGAAACAAAGTGCTCCCTGACACTGCCTGCATGAGAGGTTCTGCCTGGCTGGCTGCAGTGGGATCGGCTGGGCAAAAACACGGGTAAGCAAACGTCAGCTGGGACAAACGGAGTTAGTTTTGCCATTTCACCCACAGTCTGTGTTGCTTTTCCCATGTGGCCCTTTGTGGCACGGCACACCCCTAGGTCCTGTGTGGACAATGCACCTTGTGTCCTAACCCTCCCCATCTCCTCTTTTGACCACATTTGAATCATCATTACGAACGAAATACAAAACATGTGTCTTACGAAGTTCAGACCTCAGGGAACATTACACAGTTGGAGGGCAGCTTCAGCCCTCCTGACTGACCATGATGGAATCTTACAATGCTTTCAGGGAAATGTCCAGCTGCATTAGAGGAAGATATGGCTGAAGTCAAGAAAGCGAGCCAGTGAAGCTGGGCTCTGCCATCAGCTAAAATCCATATATTTTAATAGCTACATAGAGAGTTTCAAGAGGTAGAAAATCTCCATTCTTAGCTGAAGAATAAGGAAATGAGCTGGGCACCAGCAAACAGGTGCTAAAGTCTCAAGGTGGGTTCAGAGGGAAGGTTCACCCGATAGAGCAAGTATAAAGGAGAATCAGCAGGATTTGTTATATATCTGTGAGAGAAACTTTAACCAGAAAAACTTTCCTCAAACCACATAATAAATATGATAAAAGACTGATATCTTTAGACCTGGGCTATAAAAGTGTTTACATGGCTTTATATACAAAGTGAGTTTATGCTATGGAAATGTATGGCATAAACTATTAACAAAAGCGTCAAGCTGCTAAAATACAAACGATCAAAAGGCTTTGGTCAAAGTTCTATTTTATTGTTTTATTTTATTACACAGGGTTTCTTGAGGCTATTTTCATACATGGATATACTGCCTTGCATCTGCCCTCCATCCCCCCGTTCCACACCAGCCTCCCCAGCCACCATCCCTCCTCTCCTATCAGACCCCTTTGTTCCTAGCAGTGTTGTCTCTAATCTCATGTCATCTGTACATACATCATTTTATGTATTTATAAAGATTAGGACCCACAAGTAAGATAAAATGTGAAATCTTTCCAACATTGAAGAAGTTTGCTTAGTACAATGATCTTTGGTTGCGTCCATTTACTACAAACCACATTAACTTCATTTGTCTTTATGGCTGAAAAACATCCCACTGTACACATATGCCACACTTTTTAACTCCTGACTCAAGTTTTTACAGAAGACTCTCTCTGAATAAGCACAACTGAAAACTTTCAGAGTAAAACTGCTCATTCTCGCCTGGCTTTCAGTTTCTCTGAGTAAAGGCCCATTGATCAGAGTCTGGGATAGAGTGCCCTATGCCTATGTCAACACTGATGCACAGGGTGAGGGGAGCACAGAGAGGCAGGTGGGGCCCTGCTGAACGTGGCCTTGGCTCTATGACACCCAGTTGGCCTGATCTCCTGTGCCACAGATATATGTGACACACATTCAAGAACCACATCAATTCTGTTGCTCATTTCTCCCTCTCAGCCTGTATCATACCCTTAACAGGTCACAGCTGTCTTTTGCCAACAGACCGGCCTGAAATCCTGGCTCGGATCCAGGGACCCAGACCGGCTCACGCCCGGTCTGCTCCGTACCTGTCCCCCTCGCCCAGGCCCACGTTTCCACTTCGCAACCACGTAAGCTGCTGCTGCTGCCGCTGTTGCACATTCCGGAGGGACCCCGCCACCGCCCCCACATATTCCGGAGTGCTGCCGCGGCCACCGCTCCATGTTCCGGAGGCCAGCTCCTCTGAGTCTCACTTACTGGTCTACACAGGGAGATGGCAGGGGTTACTTATCCAGATGAAGACATACCTCTCCTCTTTTTTTACTTCTTAGCTATGAGCTCCCAAATCTTTAAAACCCAACGAACTCTCTGGACCCTAACAATTTCCTAACTTTCCCCTCCCAGATATTTTTCTCACCTCAGATTTTTTTCTTGGCTGCTCTGACAACAACTTTATCTTTACCCAGTCTACAGCCCCCTCCACTCCTAACCTTAGTTCCCAGTATCCTAGTAGACACCACACAGTCTTTACTCATGGATACTCCAAGGAGGGAAAGGAGACCACAGTGTTCAACTGGCTAGTGTGACATTTGCATAGCGGGCATACCCAGCAGCTGTGGATGATTCTGCAGTTAATATTCTAGTCCAGAAAGAAACAGAGCCGTACCATGTGCCCTGAACACATGCATCATGTCTCGAGGACCCCCTCCGTCCATCCCCCGGGGAAGCTGGGCCTCTGAACCCAGGACAGGGCTTCTGGGCAGTGGCCTGACTGGGGTTTGTGGGGTGGGGAGCAGCAGCTTAGGCGGTTGTGTAGTGGAAACGTGGGCCTCGGCAAGGGGAAGGGTGATGGAGCAGAGTGGGCGTGAGCCGGTCTGGGTCTGTGCCTCCGAGCCAGGATTTCAGGTCGGTCTGTTGGAGGCGACTGCCCCACTGGGTTGGCGTAAACGGGGAGAGGGCGTGAGTGCGGAGGGCTTGGCGGGGGAGGGGTGTGTGAGTGAAGAAGTCAGAGAAAAGAAGCTCCTGATCCCTAGGCATCAACTCATACCAAGTGGGGAGGGGTGACCTCCACCCTACCTAGGGAAGGAGGTGCAGCCCAGCCCCGATCCCCTCCCCCTCCGGGAGATGCCAGTGCCTCCGCCTCATCCCTATCCCTCCCTGTCACCTCAAGTCGGCCCTTGGCCACCGGAAAACAGTAAAAGAATAAGAATCCAAAGAAAAATAAACAGCTGAATGAAAAAGTCAGTACAGGACATGACACAGGAATCCAATAAACAGAAATTTTAGCAATGAAAAACCAAGTTAAGTCGAACACAAACTCAATAGAAAGCCTCCAATACAATGGATGAAGAGGGTGACAGAGCATTAGAGATGGAAGACAAGATAAATTAATTACAACATTCAGTCATGATCAAAGGCAAATGAAGAAAAAAGGATGAACAGAACATTCACACCGAGTCTCCCCTCCCAGGAGAGTGGGTGGGTAGTGCAGCCCCGGGCCACCGCCATCGCATGTTCCAGAGGGCCACTGCCCAATCAGGAGAGTCCATCCCGCTAGGCCAGTCTGATTGGCTGAGTTCTAGGTGTATGGCCAATCAGGTCAGAGAGTAATTAAAGCACAAAGCTCTGGGAGGGGTCTGTGACAGTTGGTGCCTGACTGGTGAGGGTGAAGGCTGTGCTTTTGCTTTCTCTGCGAGGACACCAACATTTTGGACTGTGCGTGCAGAGGCCATACGAAACTTCACAGTTTTGAAAGAGATCTTCCTGGACTACTCTTCCAATACCTGGTACAGACTTGTTTGCCACCACCTGCCATGCCCCTTGTTGTCATGCTCCTTCCCCCTGCTGTTTGTTTTTCAAAGCTACATTAGTTGGGTTTTCTGTCACTGGCCCTTTTTCTTACGGTCTGGAGAACTTGAGGCCTGTGAGTCTGGATTTTGAACCACCCAGGGCCCTTGCACCAGACTCTGGACCCTGTGGTTGCCCAGGCACTCAGGCCCAGGGCAGACCTTCTCAGTCAAACAGAACCCTGCCCACTTACACATCCCGAGTGGGGCCCTCAAATGCTTCCAAAATCAGACAACTACATGTGTGTAACATTTGATAAATAGAGCTCTTTTCTGAGGATGAAATAATCAGTAAGAGAGGCAGTGCTCTGACTGTGTGTTAAGTAGATATACCAACACAGAGAAAGAAGCCTGCTTCAGAATCTCCATTTGGAGAACTCAGCATTTCAGAAACAAATGAGAAATGTTTCTTTCACCAAAGAAAGGAAGAAAACTAACAGTGATGAAAGGAGAGAATCTTCATTAAATATCACATTTAGTGTGCTTTACTCTGTAAACTACCAGAAGAAAACTTATTTCTAACAAACTGAAAACAATGACCCCAATGTCTGGTATTTGATGCATAGCAGCATAATCAACAGAATCAACTACCAGGAGACAAAAGAATACAGGTTTCAACAAACCCAGCAGCACATTCCATCAGCTCTGTGATGTTGGTGGGGTTAAATGTTGAGCAAAGTAATACAAAATCCACATAAAATAAAACAAAAATATCAGTTTTATGTACAGTTCAAACAAAAGTATAGTGGCATATTAAGACTCAAGTCCATCCTCCTTAGGAACTGAAGACTGATATGTTTCAATTTTCACCTATCACATGAAAAACACTTTTGAGATGGCTCGTCATGAATTCATTTGATTAGTCTGGAAAACACGAGCACTGGAGGACAAAATGGAGAGTTAGATATGCTACATAGGTGATAAATATGAAATTTGGCCCAGGTATGATGCTGCATGCCTTTACCCCAGGACTCCAGAGGAAGAGGCACAAGGGTCTCTGTGAGATCCAGGCTAGCCTGGTCTACATAGCTAGTTTTTGAATAAGAAAAGTTTACAAGTTCAAACTACCAGACATTTAGAGACATTAAGCATACACAGTCCAGGCCTTGGATGTATTGATCTGAAAAGAAGGCATCTCTTGCCTCCTTCCATGAGTTCCTTTCCAGGCAATACAAAAGAGTGTTTAACTCTTCTCTCTCTTTCAAGAAAATTCCTTTCAGTTCACTGAAAATTCACTTCACCTGCCAACATAACAAGATGAAGAAGCACAACAGAAAACAAAATGGGCAGTTATAGTGTCTGCTGTGTCAGTAGATGCACAGGGAGAAAGTTCAACATGGAGATCCCATAGAAGTTTCTGCTTCTCTGCATCCAAGTGGCCCACCCTGCCAACAAGATCAATAATTGCTACTACATTCATGGGACTGTAGCTACCTCAGTTCCTAATTAAACAAGGCAGAGTAACATGGTTTTCATCCATTGCAACAGAGGCTAAACTAAGCTTTCTTTCAGAAGCACTGGTAGCTGACCCCCATCCTCAATCTCTTCTGCCTGCAACTGTACATTGAAACAACACTGACGCTTCCACTTAGCTTCATGGACAGAATCTGGGGGACAGTGGGGCACAAGTGAGAGTTTTTGTTCTAAGTCCAGGAGTAGTTCACTGTGAGTTTTAAAAGTCTATTCTTGGGGCTGGAGAGATGGCTCAGAGGTCAAGAATACTGGCCGCTCTTTTAGAGGACCTTGGTTCAACTTGTGGTACCCACATGCTGCTAACAAGTGTACTGAACACCTGTTCCAGGGGTTCACACACTGTCGTCCCTCCTCCATAGACATTGGTCACATGGCTGCACTTACACGCAATCACAGCACTCTTACACATGAAAATAAAATAAATAAGTAAATAACTTTTAATAGAGATAAAACCATATTTTGGTGCATCACATTTTATCTATTTGTGACATTACCTTGATATTTTGTGGTATATATTGGATACTGATCTAGTCCATCATTAGAATATCCACCTGTAAATTTTTATCCTTTCCTGTGGGTCTCTCCCTCCCCTTGTGGGTCATTGGCCACTGACGGAGAAGAAGCAAGGAAAGGGTTCAGGACAGCCAGTGAGCATGACAGAAAAGACCTTCCAGGGAGTCAGATTCAGTGATACAGCTCCATTTATTCAGTGGGGGTCATGGAAATATATAGTGTGGAGGCAGCAGCCAAAGCTTCAGCTGATAGGTGCTCACAGTATTCTTTATTTACATGTGGTAGGGGGATCCTATCATCTGGCTATAGGGCAATGCCTAATTATAGAAAAAAAGAGATTATTTACATATTACCTCATTCACACTATTTTTATGGTGGGCACTTAGCCTGGTGGGAGCAGCATCAACTTTTCTTTCGTTTTATTGCAGGTAACTATGCCCAAGGTCATGTTCCAAATAAGATCAGGCATCTGTGCTTGGAGGTACTTTCCAGATAAGTCATGCAGAGAACAGGAGGCCCCTACTAAGAAAGGAGTCAACCTTAAGAGCAGGGTTCCCCAACAGTTTCCAATGGCGAGTGTATCCAAATTGATATTTTCTAACAATTTTAATATATAAAATGCAAATTGGATTATTTACCTTGTTGTGGCATAGAACAGTAGAACTTAGTTAAGCCATGAAGTCATGACACTGTCTCTGTTATTTACCACACATCCTCCCCATTCACTGCAAACTGGTATTGTACCCTCACCATCTATCATCTATCTTTTCTTTTTCTATTTCTCTTATGACTGAGATCATGTAGTGCTTGTGTTTCAACTTCTTTACCTGATACAGTGTCCACCAGATCTATCCTGTTCTCAAGTATGAGAAGATTCCACTCTTTTCTACGATGAAATTGTGATGTATTCTTCAGAAATATATTTCAGTAAATCTTTCATTTGTCAAAGGACATTTTAGTAGATTCCCTATTCTTCAAATAATGCTGTAATAATTAGTGAGCGCACATATCTGAAACCCATACAGAATTCACTTCCTTTGAGTAACTATTCAGGATTTGGTGGTAGGAGCCACAATAGAGAGAAGGCCCGTGGCTCAATTAGCACAGTCATTTCTACTTCCATCCATTGACCTATAAATTACTTGATTTCCTTTTCCTTTACCACAAAGTAGAACTCCAGTGTAAATCTACAAAATGTACAGGATCCACTAATAGACTGGTGGACATTTATGTTGTGCAACTGGATTTCAAAGAAACCACAGTAGAATTTTTTTCTTGAATACTAGTTTATTATGTACTTAACTGAGACATTAAATGTGTCTCTTCTGATTTGGGAGGATTTTGATTGAAATTAATGCTCTCAAATTCTTGAAATTTCACAGCCAATATTGAAGAAGTCACTTTATAAAAATTGGACTTATAAGCCAGTTTTCAGTCTCAAAACTACATTGTCACATTACTTCCAGTATATACATTTTAATAGGAAAATTCATGAAGTGGTAATTATGTTAATTTAATAGTCAATTTAAAAATGTATGTAGAGAACAAAACATCACATTACACCTCCTTGTTGGGGTCCTCTGTTAAGCAAGTAGAAGTCTCTTCACGTCCGGATAGCTTACGAGCTCAGAAAACCATGTGCTGCAGACTCCTTCATAGCAGAGTGCCTTCCTGGCATCCTCCCTGACTCTTCTTTTAAAGTGCTCGCCACAAATACATGCCCTCTGGCACCCGGGCTCACAGCTGGGTAAGACTGTTGCCCCCCCCCCCCCGCCAGCAGCCTGCATAGCACCTTCCAGTACTATGAAATATAGTCATCAGGGGCGGGGCTCTCTGGTCACGGCCAACTTGATTTCTCCATGTCCTGTGACCAGTATCTTCAGAAATAATGTCTAACCATCAACATCTAGTGAGCAACCAAAAGTAATGGCAATAGCCTGCATTATTGGGGGGCTCCAGGACAGCTCTGACAAAGAATTACAGGTATCCCACATCTGGTGCTGGCCTTTTTGTTTAGCCTGGCTTCTGAGATGAGAAAAACCCTCTGTAAGATATATCTATCTATCATCTATCTATCTATCTATCTATCTATCTATCTATCATCTATCTATCATCTATCTATCTATCTATCTATCTATCTATCTATCTATCTATCA